AGTCAAGCGAACGTAGCTGGCTGCTAGAATTTCCTCTTGTCAACCGCCTAAGCACTTTCGAATCTCATCCTTTCGTCGATGCAATCTTTCCTCGCTAGTCTTCTTTTATACGTTTCCAACAACTCCGTGAAAGACGATTGCAATCTGTCAAAGACACCGTGCAAACACGTTTCCTAGAGAAACGTTGGCAACGGTACGTTCTACCGTTATCGTTGTTCCTTATCAGCCGGAAGAGCAAGATATCTGAATCTTGGAGATGGTAGAAAGAGCCGCGCATCGATAATTACTCGTCGTAAAAGTAACGACGTGTGGCGTTGAAACGGCGCTCTCGTCTCTCGCGATTCGCTTTTCACTTGTTCGGCGAATTTTACGGTGACCTCTCTTCCGGATCGTGTTCGCGCTCGTAAACCCGGTCGCTCGATGAAGATCGCGAGTTCGTGTTTCCTTAGGCTATACATAGTTACCGCGGACGGGTGTTATAACGAATATCACAGCAGTCAAATACACCGACTACGAAAGTATTTAAACACTTGTCGCAGGAAACTTTTATTTGTATGCGTTGTGTGAGCTATTTTGAAATTTCATTGCCACTGTAACGAGACACGGCTGTCGCTGTTATATCGGTCAAATTTCAGATCGTATCAGAAACGTATATTTATCGCAAATATATATTTAATAAAAGATTAGTATACGCTTTGAATAGTCACATTGAGGATATAACGTAAAAGCGTTATCTAAGTATTAAATATTGAGATTTATCGATACAGTGGATAATTTGGACCGTTTAAATACTTTTATCGTCCCTGCCAAAATGATACAGCGAATAATATAATTTACTATGTATTTACTTCTGATTTACTGAAATTATTGGAAAGCGACGTTGTCCTTTGAAATGTGTGTTCCTAGTATCAGAGAACGCTTACACAGAAAGAAAGTTTATGAGAACCCGGAAGGCGGGTTACGAGACGTATCAATCGTGCGAATGTGTTTGCATCGCGATCGATAGATCGATGCAGGTGATAAATCGATCGACTGTCCCCATGGCAGAACGACTGAACGACGCGACGATGGGATGCTAACGATAGTTAATCGTCCGGACGATAAAAGCGCAACCGTATCGCGTGGTCGATGCGGAGGATCATCCCGTAGGACGTGGCGCTAGCAGCGGCGTGTACATCGATCATCTGAGCGGGTTGCGTCCCTCCTCTGCTCGCAGGGACGAAAGTAACCCGATCAACGTCGGCTGTATCAGGAATTATTATTCACCGGCCGTCAGTCGATGAGAAGGAGAGGGCGGGGCCGCGAAGCATGCATCATCGAGAGCAAATTCCGTTCGCCTCTCTTTATTTTACGGTAGTGAAGGATAGGGGAAAAGATACGTGGAAGAAGGAAGAGACGCGAAATTGTAAAAGCAAGAGCGAGAGAAAGACGAGAGCCGTTCTACCCGATCTTCACGTGGCTGCCGTCAGTCCGCTTAACTGTAGATCAATCAATATACGCTGGTTGAACCCTCGGACTCTGTTTTCTCTCCGTTGCTCCCTGGCCTCGGTCGGTTCGTTCCTCTTTCTCCGACCTTTTACCCCGTCCTCTCCCTCCGGCTGCCCCTAACGAGCTCATCGCTCGTGTAGCCAAAGAAAAAACACGAGAAAGTGGTACAAAATGGCCCTTGAGAAATGCCGTCCGTCCATCCGTTCGTTTGTCCAGCCGTTCGTTTCAACGCTGTTGCAAGGGTGGACGAGGTGGAGATCGAGCTAGGGCGTTGCCATGAACACACGATGGAATGTATGAATAAGTGGGCCGCGATACGCCGGCCATTTCGGAGAACGAACGCGTGTCTAATTTTCGTTCTTCGATCTTCCTCTATGAATCCACGATAACGTACAGCGCTGTTGGCGAGTTTCCAGTATGTTAGAACTTGAAGCTTCATCGGTGAACACATGTCTTATTCGTAAGAACGGCGTTTCACGGCATTGGAACTAATTAATCGTATATAGAAACGAAAGCTACTTTACTCTGAAGAGCAAAGAGCGGATCAAACTTTTAATCGCGATACACATGGATAAGTGTAAGAACATCTTCTGGTTTCGCGTAGGCTGCGATAAATAGCGTATACGATCAGGGAATTAATTATTGTTTTTTCGTTCATGCAAATTAAGAGTCCAAAGATTTGCAACAGCTATTGACAAGTGTTTCAAGACTGACATGACGAATTACCTCATTGACTATCCTCGTGGCAAAAGTTTTACATAAATTAGACGCAAATTCAGACAATTTGCTATCTAGAATTAGAATCGAAATTTCGGATTAAAGACGGAACGAATATAATAGGAAAGATACGCGTATCAGAATTGGTTGAAACAATGATCGTACCAGATACGAACACGAAGGAATTTAATCTATTACGTAAATGATTTTTATTGATTTTCGTGATTTTTATTACAAAATTCAATATTTATTTAAGACTCTACTTATCTTGTCTAATCTCTGCCTATCTTTACATAAGATTTCAAACGAGATAATAATTCTTGAAGATTCTAATAATTTCCCACTTGTTTCCAAAGTTCTGTATTCGTACTAATAGTTAGGAACGTAGGTGTATTTGTAAATTGTTTCGCGTCTATATCGCGCTTTGTCTATGAGCAAATCTTGCGATAATAGATAGATTTGGTATCGTAGGCGTTACCAATTGTAAGACACCTGTCCTTGCCAAACGTATAATACATACACGGTGGATAATAGACGCTGCACCGGAAACAGCTGTATTCACGTGTTAAATGTATACGTTCCTACTGTTGCGGATCATCTTTTTGAATAAGAAAAAGAAGAAAACGATTAACTAATGCGATATTGAAAGTCAGCACGATAATCAATAATCTTTTGTATCGAATAATAATGTATAGATCCTTGTATCCGTGTCGTATCTGCACATCGATTGGACTCTGCCACGGCAAAAAATTCTGGCGAGATCTCAGTTAATATTTTCTGTATTTTAATGGTTTCAAGGAAGTACTTATTAATTGCAACTGATTGCGTACAAATAGCCAAGCGTGATGTAACAATCATTGAAAAACGTCGATTCAAAATGCGCAGAGTTATAAATAATTTTGTCACCTTTGAACCATCGACGGAGTATTTCTTGTACATTTATATCCACGATTTCACGTTTTTAAAAGATTACGAAGAATTACAAACGATGCGTAACACATTTAGTTCGACCGTGTTGTCTCGTCAATTGTTAAATAATTCTCAAATTTCTCAATTACAAATGACGATAAAAGGCGGAGAAAAAGCGTGATAAAAATTCAACGATCAATTCCACGTTGTTAGAACCGTAGTCTTATTTCACAGCGAGATTAAACGTGCATTCTTTCGCCCTATTGAACATTTCAAAAATGCCAGGTGTAAAAAGTTTTGCAAACGTATCATCTATTCTCAAGAAGATTTGTATCTGTCAGGCTCAGCCACCAAGCGACATAGAAATTTGAAAATCAACGGAAATGTACTTGTCACGATCTTTTCATCTCGTATAATTTGCGAGTTATAAATCTGATTGGTACGTTTTCGTCTCTCGGAAACCATGTAATACGATGTACCAAACGAGAGAACTAGACGTAACAAACGATGATGCCGCGTATATTGATTATCACGCGTTTTAAAATTATTATTCGTGAGATCGTGAGATGCGGCTCACGTTTTGTTCAATAGAATTTATCTTCCGGGCAAATCTACGAGCGAACAGGGATAGGAAATTCGTTTAAAGAACTATTACCGCCCGTGCCAACAGCAACAACGACTTAAATATTGGGTCAGTTCATAAATTCGCGTGTCGGAAGCACGTGTTATCCGGACGATGATCCAAGGTAACATTCGACTCGTGTTCCTAGCCGTTGCTTCTATTAAGCGATCGTTTGTCTTAGTCTCTCTCTCTCTCTCTCTCTCTCTTTCTCTCTCTCTCTCTCTCTCTCTTTCTGGGACGATAGAACGAAACGCATGCTACGTAATTTCTAAAAGCGGAAATCGTTGGACCGTCGCGTTTCGCGCGGTTTATCCTCGACCAGTGACACTTGTGCAGCTGTCGCTTGAAAGAGATAAAGGAGTACGGAGATTGTTTGAAACGGTTTGACCGATCGAGAACACGGAGAATCAAGGGAAGTTAGAGTCATGCAAACGGCAATTACTTCCAATAGTTGTTCACCGGAGTTGATAGCCAGTGGAGAAAATGAAACGGTAATGGAAACGGTGCTTAAGGGGACAAAGGAAAACGTAGGCAAAAAAGGGCGCGAGAGACGAAGTTGGGTGGAAGATAGCTCGTATTATAAAAGCAATTAGAGGGTCCCGGATTAGATATAGCACATCGTACATAACAAATATGATAATACGGGCCCGCTAGCCCGAAGGGAATTTGGCTTTGCCTCGGTCGAGGGGGTTTCGGGTTATGAGGCAGGTTAAACGGAATCATTAATAATCGGAGCTAACTAATCTGCCTGTCGCTATGAGCACACTTGTTTCACTCCTGTTTTTATTAACCCGGCTCGAATAACATTTTATTCGTCGTGGAACAGGAAGGGTACGTGCATCGAGAAACCCGCGTATCGCGACAACGTGTGACGATCGACTAATGGATGAAAAATTATAGCGACGTAAGGCACGGTCGCGAACATTAAAATTAAAAAAGTGTTTCAATTCTTGCAGCTATCTTGCATTCGGTGTTTCGCATTTAATCACGTTATTACAATACTTTACTCTCTCTCTCTCTCTCTCTCTCTCTCTCATGATGCGTTTTTCAAGTGACACAACGTATTTTTTATAATAATAAGCTACTATATCGTTTTATGAAAAGCGAACCGAGACTTACGTCACTACGATTTTGACCCAGCCAATTTTTCATCGTGTCGATCGTCTTTTCTTTATCGTTTTGTAGCCAGTTCGAGAAAAGTAAAATACTCGACGAAATATCGCTATGCTAATATGTTCACCGTTTTCTACTTTCATTGTTTCAGCTCTATGAGATTAACGATGATCCAAAAAGAAAAGAGTTTCTGGATGACCTCTTCAGCTACATGCAGAAACGCGGTAAGTACTTTCTTGCAACTTGTTGTCGTAGATATCGTTACTATGTAAACACATACTTATATACGTACGTATACGTAGTGCTGACGTGCACAGACTAGAGACAGACAAATCGAAAAAAGCAAATGATAAAATGTATCGCGGTTCGAGGCAAACCGCGAAATGGCGCCGTGTTCGTTAAACGCGTCCCTCCGTCAGATCGCGTGGTTCTCTTCATTATCATCTGATTCGCGAATCGGTCCCGCGGTAATTAATTTTGCAAATATTTATCGTTCCGATCGACGTTCAAGGCCGATTCGTCTCCGGATCGACGAGAATGTTCGCGCGCAGCTCGACTTTTCGTCCGCACGGACGAAACCATCAGTCCTCGCATTTGTCTCCATCGCAGAGGCGAAGACGTATTGCGATCTCTTGGCAAGCGGTCGCGTTCCGTGCGAGCCTACGATCCTCTCATAATCCCGCGTGCACGTCCAACAAGGGGACGCCTCCGAATCCCGAAACGAATCTCCGGATTTAACCTTAGACCACCTACGCGTTGAATCGCCTGTTCCTTTTAAACCAACGTCTCGCTGTTACTCCGTTTTCGCTTCATTTTTCACAATTTTTCCATTTTGACATGTTGAACGCGATCGCCTCTGGTCGCCGTATAAAAATATATGCAGCTGTTACAAAAAAAATTGGCACGAAACTTCAGCGGTATATAGCGCTTATCAAAACACGCATAAGAGAGACTCGATAGAAATGGGCGCGAACGGCCGTAACGTCGAAGTTACGGGTTCATCGGCGAAGCAGAAAATATCTATTTATATAGGAAGAACATTTTCTCGAATGTTTCTTGATTTGTTATTTCTTTGGATAGCTTATGACAAGATTCTCTCAAACTTTTGTTTTTCTTTTTTACTTTATCGCAAGTTAAAAATACGTATCGATCTGGATCTTTCGCGATCTTGGGAATTACCTATCAATATTTTAGTCTCTCTTAGCCAGTGATGTATGGCACTGAACAAACACATTACCGTTGCGAATCTGTTGGATCGTGCTATTACAGACTATAGTTGAAAATATCTTACAGCTCGGAAACTGATGATATTTGAAGTCACGTTTATTAAGAATTTTCTCGCTTGTCTTAATAAATACGTATTCCTAAAATTTAACTTTTTAAAACATCCTGTATATCGATACATATCGTGCACATATCGTGTAATGGTATAAGATTAATTATCTTTTCTATCGATCATTTTATTTCGAAATAACGCACGATCCGTGTGAAAGTCATCTGTATTTGTAATGAACGCGTTGATGGATTCCTGCGAGAACTGAATGGAAAGCATGAATCGAAACGAAGCGGTATGTTGGTGAAAAATTAGTTGAAAATGTTTCGTCCGAGTGAAAATGATATCTACCTGGCTATATTTAACCCGCGCACCTGTCGACAGTCGCTGCATTGTCGCGCGACATTATTTGCATCGTCGCGCGAACTTCAGAAACCGTGCCAAGGTATTTAGAATTCGGTGAACATTCCGCGCGCTCGCGCTCGAGCTTCGAGCTTGCGTCACGATCGTGCCATACGATCTCATCTGAGCGCAACGAACTTTCCACGTTATTGTCCTCTATCGTCGCGCTCCTTAACCTATGTACGTGTTCTCGATACTCGATAGATACGTCGGAGATCATTTTTCACCCACATCTCATCCTGTGTAATTAATCTATTCACCGGCAGACAAATTTAAAGCGTCTCGCTATGGGCGCCAAGATTTTATTTTGGAGAAATCATGGAATTTTTACAATATCTATATTCTATTATACGAATATTATTATATAAAATTTTCGTTCATTTTTTCTAATAATTCCTAACTCAAACTTATTCCGTGACCAATTGCAATCAGTCTAAATTTGTAGCGTAAAGTACGAGATATCTCGTAGTCGGCAGTGAATGGGTCAATCCTTGGACATCAAACCTTGGTCATTGCAAATGTACTACGTTTCTGAAGTTTTTTTTTACGTCTTTACATTGATAAAGTCCAGAGGAGATGCTTCCTATATTAACACTTAGCCAACCGCGTGCCCCACAGCGAGCTATACGCTGTCCATCGCGCATTTTTCCAAGTATCGAAGACTAATGTTCATAACTTAAAAAACAAAGAAGTCTAAAAATTACTTAAATGATCAATTATATTTTGCGGTGATGATTTTATTTAACGATTTTACATATTGTTTATACAAAATATCGATTCAGAAGTGTATATTAAAGGTATGGAAAAATATAGGTAAAATTAAAATCATTAAAGATGACTAAAGATAGATAACACGACTCGAAGGTGAAATTAAAAATTCATAATGCATTTCAATATTCTTTTATATTCTGATATCTTCTGATTATAACTTTATTTAGTCATATCTGATAGTGTAACTTTTTAATTAATTTTAATACCACTACATTGGTGTGTTTTATTATATACCGTACTTTATAAAAGCAGAAAAAGTGGCACAATTAATTGGAGACAATCCCGAGTAAACAATAACTGGTAACAACAAAAAAAAAAGAAGAAAAACGCGTTGCCAAAGTCAAAAAGGGAGATCTCCCCTTTAAGTTGGCTAAGTGTTAACGTCACTCGATGCTATTTCAACAGTAGAGTGTGTATCTTGGATTCGGTTTTTATTAGACATCGTATAAACAATCGTATTGCTATATAGACAATTGTTTGAAAACAGACAACATCGAAAATGTCAGTGGAACGAGACATATAGCGATGAGCATATAAATAGCAACATTTTATTTTCATACCTCGTTTTAAACACGTATGTACAGTTTATTGTTAAGGTAATTTATTATGCTGGGAAATAGAACATTTTCAAGGTTATCAAGATTATTTGTATATCGCGTTTTGGATAAAAATTGGAATATCGTTATATTATTGGAATATATAAAAAATTATTATATACAATTGAAATATAAATATTGGAAACGTATAAAGAAATAACAATATCAATAAAATTGTCAAGAGCGTTTGAATGCATCAATTTGAGTTTTTGCGTACTTTTATTAACACGCTCGTCGTTGTATATATCGTGTGTACACTACCGTTTACGAACATTAGAACAGCGAATGCTTTTATACGAAACGTGATAACTAACTTGGATTATCGAAGGAATAACGAATCGACCAGAATTTTAACTTTATACAATTGCGATCCAATGTACGCAGCGAAAATTTGTTGCAACTACTTGCAACAGTTTATATACATAAGTGTGATAAACGAGCAAGAATGTTGAAGTTATCTAAGTTAAAGCTTATCGAACAATATTTAAACGAATTAAAATGATTCTTTATAATCTTAAATAAGGTTCGCAGTTTACATAGTTTCTCGTAAGTATCCTAATATTTATGAACGGCGACGTATTATTTATATTCTGAGTCATTCTGACCCAGCTTCGACGTCGCTAGAAAGTCCGATGTCCAAGAATTAACACGTTTACCACGATTAAAATATAGCTACCGTTGTGTATTATTTATATAGTTTTCATCGGAGAACCGTTTATTTGAAATCGCAATACGTATTTATTTTAACACATTTGTCGCCGTATTATTATTGTTATTCTCAAATCTTGTCATCGTGCAAACTTAAAGACGCGACAGCTACGTCAATAATATTGCCTGCAATTAGGATCTAATAATAACTAAGATAATTGAATGGATGCAACATATGCGTCAGTAGCAGCGAATGTGTTAAACACCGAGTTAAACAACGATAAGAGCAGCCACGAACTATTAGATAAATTAGAAAGTACACGCGATAAGGCTTACCGGGAAATTTCGACGAAATTGTGTCTGGGAAAAGGATGAATTTTGTCACCGCGGAAATTACCAGACGTTATTCACGGTATATACGCGAACGTCGGTTAAAGAAACGAAGCACACGTGCGACCCGCATCTCGTTTCCTGCACACGTGGATTCTCGGCAGACTTCGCGCCTAGCCGCATCCGAACGCCTCGTAAACGTCCACGTGGTTAAAAGGTTCGATAATACGTTGCATCTGCCTCCGTTAGGCGGGACAAAATTAGCTTCTAAGCTCGTCGAAACAACGGAACTGCAAAGTCTTTGTCCTTTGTCCGCTCTAGAGAAATAAATCCAGTTGATTCCGTCGTAGACAAAATTTCAATTTTCTTTTGGCGGTAATTTAATCCATTAAGCGCTAAGTATAGTGCGCGTGATAGCATACATTTTTCCCTGTGGTCTACCGTAACGCGTACTGGACAAACAACTAGATTTTTCATACTAAACATATGTTCCGTGAAGGTAGATTCTTTGATCGTTTGAACTGTCCAGTCGACAACCGAAACGGGAGAATTTTTACAGGGAGGCTGCGTAAAATTCAATTAAAATTCCATACAGATACGATGAAACGAGAGAAAGTCTCTAGAATTTACATTCGAATAATATGCTTAGTTTCTAGATCTAACGTTCCTTAAGCAAATTGCAAATTAACCAGGGGTTTTAAAAAAGGATCCGTATTCCAAAGCAGAGACATAAATTTTCGTACACGGATGATAGTTCGTCTGGCATCTTTCTTTACGAATCGAAAGATCGAATTATTCGGAAACGTTGTCGTTTTAGATTTAACTGGTCCATTTGTACTACCTTTGTATATGAAAATAATCTTTCCGTACGTTAATTCTTCTATGAATAACCGCCACGCGATAGAATTTAAAGAACAAAAGACCGTAGGTGTCTCTGATTTTCTGATAATAAGAAACCCGTTGACAAGACGAATGGAAGAATTAAGTACCAGTTGAAAGACCGGAAACACGAGCTTCTAATTTTAAACTTAGTGACCCGACCGTCAACAACCATTCGCGCAAAGCACCAAGCGTCTTCTGTTTCCTCCCTTTCGAACGATAATATTATCGCGTCTGTCCCCGTGAAATATTTGGAATAGATCGGATCTGCATCGTCGTACCTTCTGGTAAAATCAATTAAACAGGTTCTCGTGCACCGATGTTC